TGAGACTTCATCACCATTCAAGATTCTGAAACTTTATATATATATACAAAAAAAGATTCACAACTGGAGGGTGGGTCGTTTTCAAAATGTGGCTCCGCCTTAGCGCAGCGCACACTCGCTTTAAACATGTGCAAACGCTTCACGGATTGAAGGCGGGTCGTTTTCAGAATGTGGCTCTCGCCTTAGCGCAGCGCACATTCGTTGTCAAAACTTGCAAGCGTTTCACGGACTGCGGGCGGGTCGTTTTCAAAATGTGGCTCTCGCCTTAGCGCCGCGCACATTCGTTCTAACAATGGCAAAAGCTTCACGGATTGAAAGCGGGTCGTTCTCAAAATGTGGCTCGCGCCTTAGCGCGGCGCACATGTGTTTTCAACATTTGCAAGAGCTTCACGGATTGAGGGCGGTTCCTTCTCAAAATGTGGCGTTCGCCTTAGCGCAGCGCACATCCGTTTTAAACATTGCAAGGGTTTCACGGATTGGGGGCGGTTCCTTTTTAAAAAAAATGTGGCTCTCGCCTTAGCGCCGCGCGCAATCGCTTTCAAAAGTTGCAAGGGTTTCACGGATTCCCACGAACAACGTGCCAGAAATGGTGTGTTGGAAAGGTTCAAGATTATGCGGGCGCAACGGTTATGTTGATTCGCCGTGTCGAAGTCCCAAAAATCGCGTTCTCGCAGGATTCTGGATCGTCAAGACGCAGCATTCAGGTTAATACGTGGCGTTGGAATCCCGAACACAAAGTTCTGGCACGCTTCAAGATCTTCAAACTGCTGTCTTCCGACGAGGCAATTCCCCCAATGGCAATGAACCGATGTAGGGGCCTATGAAGAGGGAGCTTCGAGGGAGGGTGAATTCCAACATCGTTGATGACTCTTGGGTTTCCACTGGTCCTCCTCCTCCTCCTCCTCCTCCTCCTCCTCATCCTCATCCTCCTCCTCCTCCTCCTCCTCCTCCTCCTCCTCCTCCTCCTCCTCCTCCCCCCGCGTCGCCATACTGATCACCGCGCGCCTCGTCGAACGACACCGTCCTCCAGCCCAGGCCGCCACGAGCACCGCGGCCGAGGTACGTGGCAACCTCGCCCAGCTGCACCAAGGCGTGCACGGCGTCCGTGGCGCCCGCCAGGGACCCATTCTGCGCCTCGAAGTGCAGGAGCTGATCCCAGCACGGGTGCTCCCAGACATCCCTCGCAGCGACATGATCGAGACGGCCAGCTTGTCTTTCCCAATGCTGGGCCACCACATATGGACCCGACCCCCATACAGGACATATTTCTGAAAAGCCGGCTGGGGGTCCGAATATGAAGGATGTCTTCGGCCAGGTGAACCCCAGCGGGGGTGTCCGATACCCCAGCGGCGAGTGGACCTGTCGAGAAAGGTTCGCAAGGGGTCACAAATCTGGACCACAAAGGCTTGGTTCGGACACAGGGGGCGATCAAGAAACTGCCAGGGACGAAAGGGATCTCCTGGATGGGGTCGAGGCCGTGTTGGGCTGCGTCTGCGCAGGACGACCCACGACAACGACGACGGCGACGACGGCAACGATGACGACGACGACGACGAAGAATAAGAAGAAGACGACGATCATGACAACGATCACGACAACGATAACGATGACGACCACGGCGACGATGACGACGACGACGACGACGACGACGATGTCGACGACGACGACGACCACGATGACGATGTCGACGACGACGACGACGACGACGACGACGACCGACGAAGACGACGAAGACTGGTGGGGGTGGGGGGGCACGTCGCGAAAAAAACGCGGCGCCGGATGTCTTGGCTGGCCGTGTGGCAGGTGCCGCGCTGCCACCCCGGAGACCCGACGTGCGCGAAGAAAGACAATGACGCCGCCAGAGATAACGACTAGATGCCCTCGCCTCTCAGTAGGGGAACGAACGCCCAAGCCATCGCCCAATTCCCAAATGTTCCTCCAAGACGGCTCAAGATGGCCTCCAAGATGGCCACGTTGGCCCGAGATGGCCTCCACGATGGTCCAAGATGGCCTCCGATTCCGCCCAGAATGGCCCAAGACGGCCTCCAAGCCAAGACACCTCTAAGTTCGCCCAAGAAGCCTCCAAGACGGCCCAAGACGCCTCCAAGACGGCCCAAGACGGCCCAAGAGGCTTCCAAGAGGTCCTCCAAGAGGGTCCCGAGAGGCCCAAGGTCGTTCATTTTACGATGGTTTGGGGAGGAATTTGGTTATCTTGTCTTTTCGGCTTTCCCACGCTTCAAGACAGCCAAGATGGCCTCCAAGACGGCTAAGATGGCCTCCAAGACGGCTAAGATGACCTCCAAGACGGCCTCCAAGACGGCCCAAAAAGGTCCAAAGTACCTCAAAGTTCGCCCAAGAAGCCTCGAAGACGGCCAAAGAAGCCTCCAAGACGGCCCAAGACGGCCCAAGAGGCCTCCAAGAGGTCCTCCCAGAGGGCCCCGAGAGGCCAAAATCCACGATTTGTCCTTAGGTGTATGAAAGATTGTGGAATTTGCTTCTTCTCGGCATTCCGACAGCTCAAGACGGCCCAAGAGGCCCCCAAGATCGCCCAAGAGGCCTCCAAGAGGGCACCATGACGGCCCAAGAGGCCTCCAAGACGGCCCCCCAGAGGACCCCGAGACGACCCAAGAGGCCTCCAAGACGCCCAAGATGGCCTCCAAGACGGCCCCGAAGCTCCCCAAGAGGGCCCCAAGTCGTTTCAGAGAGGCCCCCAAAACGGCCCCCGACGGCGTCGGACAGGCCAAGGACGCCATAAGCAACAAAAAGGCCCCCGAGAAATCCCAAAAGAGCCTCAAGAGGATCTCAAGAGGTCCGCCGCCCCCTGTCGATTCATCGCAGGGGTGCCTTGCGTGCCGAATTATTTCGGTTTTGGTTTCACTTCTTTTTCCAGAAGAACTCACCCTAAGGCTTCGGCCCGTCCCGCCGGGGTCCCGAGAGGATTGTCCCGACCCGGTTGCAAAGGATTTGTCCTGCCCCAGACGCCTCCAAGATGGCCACGTTGGCCCAAGATGGCCTCCAAGTTCGCCGAAGATGGCCTCCAAGACGGCCCAGGAGAGGAGGAGATGCCTCCAAGTCCGCCTTAGAAATCTTCAAGACGGCCCAAGACGGCTCAAGAGGTGCCCAAGAGGCCTCCAAGACGGCCCAAGAGGCCTCCGAGAGGTCCTCCAGGAGGGCCCGAAGATGCTGAAATCATTGATTTTCCTTCGGTTTTTGATGGCTTTCCGTATTTGCTCCTTTTTCGGCTTTCCGACGACCCAAGACGGCCCAAGAGGCCCCCAAGATCGTCCCCACAGCGCCCAAGAGGCCTCCGAGATGGCCTCAGGACTGCCCAAGAGGCCCCCAAGACGAGTCCAAGAAGGCACAAAGACGACCCAAGAGGTCTCCAAGACGCCCAAGATGTCCTCCAAGACGGCCCCGAAGCGCCCCAAGAGGGCCCCAAGACGGCCCCAAGTCGGCCCAGAGAGGCCCCCCAAACGGCGTCCGGCCGGGTCAGACGGGCCAGGCACCCACCAAGATGACCGAAGTTGGCTCGAAGCTGGCCCAAGACGGCCCAAGAGGCATCCAAGAGGGCATGCAGGAAGGTCAGAAAAAGACCCAAAACACTGGTTCTCCTTAGGTTTTTGAAGGATTTTGGCATGTGCTTCCTTTTGGCCTTCCGACGGCCCGAGACGGCCCAAGAGCCCCCAAAGATCACCCAAAGATCGCCCAAGAGGCCTCCAAGATGGCCCCAAACCAGCCCAAGAGACCCCCAAGACGGCCCCAAGATGCCCCCAAGACGGCCCAGGAGGCTTGTAAGACGCCCAAGATGGCCTCCAAGACGGCCCTGGAGCATTGCACGAGGGCCCCAAATCGGCCCAGGGAGGCCCCCTGAACGGCTTCCGACGGCGTCGGACAGGCCAGGAGCCCACCAAAACGGCCGAAGATGGCCCTAAGATGGCCCAAGATGGCCCAAGAGGCCTCCAAGAGGGCCTCCAGGAAGGCCCGAAAAAGGCCAAAATCATGGATTTCCGTTGGTTTTTGAAGGATTGTGACATTTGCTTGTTGTTCGGCCTTCCGACGGCCCGAGACGGCCCAAGTGCCCCCAAAGATCTCCCAAAAGGCCCCCAAGACTGCCGAAGAGGCCTCCAAGCCGCTCAAGATGGCCTCGAAGACGGCCCAAGAGCCCTCCAAGACGTCCTCCAAGAACGCCCGAAAGGGTCAAAATGGCCTCCACACGGCCAAGATGACCGTCAAGATGCCCGCGTGTTCCCCGAAGGCTTTCTAAACCGATTCGGGGAACACATGGTCCGATAGCTTGGCAGGTCTGGCCTCCACGTTCGGCCACATAGGCGCTTCCAAAAAGGCAGGGGGCGGCCGTGATTCGCCGTAAGCGTCTTCGATAACGCCAACGTCTCAATATGCGCTGATGATTCCGATCAGCCCCCGCATGATGTTCCCAGATGCGAAGGCAGCGCCGAGACGCACCGACGCGACTCTTGTACACCCCATTATGATAGAGAGGGGGCCGGCGGCAGGGGGCGAAGCCCTTACGGGTTAGATATTTCGCCTCCTGAAGGCCTCGTGGAACTCCTTTTGAAGGCCACTTGGCCGTCTTGAGGCCCTCTCGGGCTGTCTTGAAGCCATGTTGGGCCATCTTGGAACGTTTTTGGGCATTCTGGGGCTCTCTTGGACCGCTTTTGGGCCGTCTTGGAGTCCTCTTGGACGTCTCTTGGGCCCTCTCATCGCCCCTCTTCCCCTCCTTTGACGCGTTTTGACGCTCCCCGACGGGTCCAAAACGGCCTTGCAAAATCGATACTCACAGGGCCCCTAGGACCCCTCTCCACTTATATACATGTGTAAGTATATGTGTCGATATACACATATGTATACATATGTGTTGGTTTGTGTGTAGGTGTATGTGTGTATGTGCATGTGTATGTGTGTATATGTATGTGTATGTGTATGCGTATGTGTGTATGTGTATGTGTGTATGATATGTAAAGATGCATACACCCCCATACATCCATTCATACAGACATACAGACAGACAGACAGACATGCATATCGACCTACCTACCTACCTCCCTACCTACATGCATACATACATACATACAGACAGACAAACATACATGCATGCATACATACATGGATGTGTGTGAAACACACATCTCGTTTAGCGTCATGTTCCTTCTGCTCGCGCCGCCGGGACCCAAGGGTCCTGCCGACCACGAGCGCGCCACGCGCACGCCGCGCTCGAGGCGCCAGGCTACTGGGGCGCCGTTCCGAGCCGCCTCCACGCGCAGGCGCCGGCGGCGCACCAGAGAGCGCAGGGCGAAGTTGCCATCTTTAGTAAGACGAAGCCAGGTCGAAGATAATCGTGTGAGGAGAAATCAAGAATCTCTGAGTTCTGGCGGCTCCAGAGGATGTCTCGGGCGCCGCGGCCTTCTCGGAGGGTTCCGAATCGCTCTGAGCGCGTTCCTGAACGCTCTGGAACGAATTTATTCTCGTCCTAGCCCCGACCAATCCCTCCCCCTGAGATCCCAGGAGGTCCCAGCTCTGGAGGTCATGGGAGGCCTGGCTCCACAAAGGGCAAGCAAAAATCCGCCGATCTGGCGTGTGAGTTTCAAAGCGCCTGAGCTACAGCCTACAAGCTGAGCTTCAGCTCGACTGAGAGGGGGCCAGGGTGGCTCTGCTGGGGAGAGGGGGAGGGGGGTGCGCCTCTGCTTCGGTTTCTGGGCGGGGCTGGGACACAAAAAAATCCGCCAAATTCCCACCCCGGGGGCCAGAGAGCCCAAGATGGCCCCGGATGCCCTCCATAAAAGGCCCGAAGAAGTCAACATTATTGATTTCTAACTGCTTTTGAAGAATTTGGGCGCTTCATTCTTTTCGGCCTTCCAAGGGCCCCAGAGGCCCCCAAGATCGCCCCAGAGGCCTCTAAGATGGCCATGTGACAGCTCACGAGGCTCCTAAGACGGCCCCAACAGAGTCACAAGACGGCCCTGCAGGCTCCCAAGACGTCCAAGATAGCCTCCAAGACGGCCCTGAAGCGCCCCCAGAATGCTCTTAGACGGCACAGCGAGGCGCCCAGGACTGCTTCCGACGGCGTCCGACGGGCCAGGAACACCCTAAGACAGCCAAAAAGGCTTCCAAGAAGCCCCTAAGAGGCTAAAGACCCCCTCAAGAGGCCTCCTCCAACGACGGCCCCAAGAGGGCCCCAAGACGGCCGCATAGGCCTCCAAGCGAACCCGAGCACCATCGGTGGCGCCCCGCATCGGCGGCACTGGCCGGAGGCCACTACAAGATTGGCCCTCGATCTTCGAGCCTCGAAGAGTTGGCATGAGGCAGACGAGTCGTGAACGAAACGGATCCTGGTCCCCGGGCCCTCGTCCCGGACCAGACTTCGTCCACGTCTGTTTCTGGACGGCCTCGGGACCCTGGAGGACCCCAAGATCCCGATTCCAAGCGAAGAAACCCCAACATCTGTTTTCTCCAGGACTCCTGAATCTCTCATGGCGACCCTCAACAATCGGCCCCTGAACCTCTTCAGGGGTGTGCTCTGAACAGAATCTCGAAGGAACCCCAGCCTTGACGACGAGCAGCCCTTTCAGAGGTCAGGTAGGACATCTCTGCAAACGTGATACATGGGCTGGCCGTTTTGTCGCCGTTGGCCGCCGCTGTCCATGCGCAGCGTACTCGCATGGATACTCGCATGGACTTCGGCCCGACTCCGAATGGAATGATTCCCCCTTTCCACCGCACGGATTCCCTGTGATTTGACATGGCTCCGTGAAAAGAACCATCTATACAGAATCCATACTGGGATCCATGCAAAGATCCACGCCAAAAACGGCATCCGCTCCAAATCCATAGTGCAGACTGCCCCGTCTGACAGAGGCCCTGGCAAGGGCGGAAACTGCCTGGACGCGTGGACCCTCGAAGCTCAACGAAACAGGCACGGACAAAACGGGTACAATGCCCAACGGCAAACGTCGTCCAAAATCGGCAGCGGCCGCTGCTGGGCAGGCAACCCCTTGTCTCGGGCGGGCAAAGCCGGCGGCGGCACCGACGGCGAGCCCTGCTCAACAATGGGCAACACCTGCTGCCGGCTTTCGCCCCGGCTCCTCCCGCGCCGTCGAGCTTGACTGGCAAAAGGACCCACGACCCTTACGAGTGCCCGCACGCTGCCACAGGCATGCAGAAAGTTGGGGTCGCCAGGCACGGAGCACGAGGGCACCCTGGATCTGGCAGGGTCGACCTGCAAGTCAAACCCGGCTGTGCCCACTCTGGGCACACCGACCGGGTCGAGGCCGTGCCCGCTTCGGCGCGCCGCCAGCAATGGGCTCCCACGGCTCCAGGGCCCAGTCGCACGCAACCGCGTCGGCAAGCGCCGCGGCGAGGCCTGCCGACACCGCCACGGCCGCGGACGCGCGCCGCATGGCGCGCTGCCCCCGATCAGCCTCGGGTAGAAACGGCTGGCAGCGCACCTCAGTTCAACTCTGCTGTACTCGAGAGAGAGATAGAGAAAAACAGAGAGAGAGAGAGGGCGGGGGGAACAACAGTGCAGAAACATACACTCTCGTGGCTCCGCGCTGGATTTCTTGGATCGGCGCTCGACCCCCAGCGCGAGGAGCAACCCGGGGGGCTCCAGCGCCAATCCACGAAATCCCAGCGCGGAGCTCCACAAGATTATGATCTTCATGCAACTGTTTCGAGTTACCACAAGGTTAAGCAATTCCTGGGAGGACTCCGTAAGAACTATTGAGGGCAAGTATGACCGATGGAAGCGCCAGGAAACTGGATTTGCCCTGATCATGCGCAAGATGAAGCCAGAGTGATCGGGAGTCAAGGGAATTAAGCTGAGTTATCCCGGATTCGGTCTGGTTTTGACCACGGATGAACAAGGGCTGCATCTCACACCTCAAGAGAGAACAACAAGGCAGAGACATGCAGGAGCAAATATCAATGACACTGTTAAAGAGGGTGATGGTGCCGGCAAGAAATCTGGAATCGCTGAAAGTGGGAGACAGGAAAGGGAGAAGGAGCGTCGAGGATTGAGGATCAAGGGTTGTGGACACGCTTGACCCTTTTGAGCCTCTGGGGTCTCCAGATGCTTCTTGAGCCCTTCGGGGGACCTCCATGAAGCTCCAATGGCCTTCCATGGACATTCCGTGGCATCTGCGGAGACCTCCGAATTAGAAGTCGGGAAGGAGGTGAGAAGGAAACGGATAGGGGGGGAGAGGAGGAACGCGGAGGAGGGGCGGAAGGAGGAGCGGGAGGGCACGGAGGGTCGCAGTCAGACTGTCGAGGCGCACCCTGCGACGCGGGGAGGAGTGAGAGGGAGAGGTGTTTCGGAGAGGAGGGGGAGCATCGAGTCGTAAGAATGATCACGTGCGACTGCGCTGTTCAGCCTTGGGGGGGAACCGGAGGAGGAGACAAACGGAGTGGGGATAGTGCCTGGGGGGAGAGGAGGGGGGAGAAGGGAAGGCGAAGAGGGAGTTGGAGAGAAGGGGATGCGGAGGCGGAGGCGGATAGGAGGGGAGAGAGGGGACGGGAGTGGAGGGTATGCTCCCGAGAAGCCGCAGCTACACTTCTCATTCCTACGCTACTAGCTGCGCAGTGCAGGAGACGATCGGGCCGCGCGACGGCAGTCGCAGTACACCTCGCAATTAACCATCCCTCGATACCTCCACGAACGAAGGCCGCAACACTGAGATACTACATCGACCTACACAGCAGGACGACATGAGGGAGGAGAGAGGAGCAGCGGGGGGAGGAGGTCGTGTAACCGATCGAAGACCGACTCGACTCTACCCCCACCCCGAGGCCGTTCATCCGCCACCGTGTCCCCTGGCACGCTGAGGCGTGGTAGAATGCCGAATGCTGCCTCGCAAGGTGTCTGTAAATCTTCCAAGGGCCTCCCACTCTCCTCCCGGTCATGCCCATTTGCATGCAACATCCCCTCCCTTCTGAGGCTTCATGACGCCTCCCTGCGGCCCTCAGAGCCTCCCCATGGCTTCAAAGAAGGCCATCAAGATGAACCAAGCACTGTGGCAAGAAACACCCAACAGCCCCAAAGAAGACCCCAAGAGGCGCCAAATAGGCCAAAGAGGCCCCAAGGCCTGCATGCGCCCCAGGAAGACCAGCACCGAGCGACCGCCGCCGTCCAGCCCCCAGAGACGGCCGAAGAGGGTCTCAAGACGGTCCAAGAGGGCCCTCAGACGGCCCCACAGGGCTCCGCAGGAGCCCAAGCCAGCCCAGATCAACCCATGGGAGCCTCTCAAGGAATCCAGACTCGAAATCTATAGTAAAGACGGGCGGTATGGACGCAAGGGCCTTGGACGCCGAAGTCGGCACTTTTTGGGCGGTGGACTGCCAACACCCTGAAGGGCTGGCAAGTGAAAATCGCGAAAGACAGGTCGCAGAGGAAAAAACGAGAGTTGGAGAACGAGCCTGTAAAATCCGCCCCGACCCCAGACCCCGGTGGTCAGGTGGAGGGTGGCTGGAACTCTGAATCGGTCCTGAGCGAGGGCAGCAAGGGTCGTCGGCGAGCGGCAAGTGAGAAGGAGGAGGCCTTCTCAAAGGCGGCGGGGCTTCTCAGAAGGTCTCTGGCCTTCTGAAAGGTTTTCCGTGTTTTCAGGAAAGGCTTAGAAAACGTCTCAGAAGACCGGGGGACCTCCAAGCCTTCTGAAAAGGCCCGCCCCTTTTCATTTCCCCCCTCGCTCGCCGCCGACATGGGTGCGAGCGGAACCCGAGCCACACCGAGCTCGACCACGGGGCGATGGCGTCCACCGACCGCTCTGTGAGCCCGCTGGCCCTGGCCCCCCAAAAGGAGGCCCCACCAAGACCCGAAACGGCCCATAGAGGGTACATCCAGGAAGCTCCCGAACAACAGCAAAAGACCCAAGAGGTCACCCAGAAAACCCAGACAAGACCGAAACAGAGCCCCAACAAAGTAAGACGAAGCCAAGATGAGAATTGAATCGGCGAGGACGATATCGGGAATCTCTGAGATCCGGCGACTCTAGAGGATGCATCGGGCGCCGCGGCCTTCCCTGAGCGTTCCGGAACGCTCTGAAAACGTTATGGAACGCTCTGGAACGGGTCTCGTCCCAGCCCCGTCCGACAAAGGCTCACTTCCAGATTTCACGCTGGACCCAAGAGAGCCGTGACCTGACCCCCAAAAGCTATCCTGAAGAGCACCCGCGCACACGGGCACACAAGCATCGAGGCAACAGTCCGACCGAGCATTGACCCCCTTTCAATCCTCCTCCTGCGCACACACGCGCTCGCGCACACGGTCACGCACACGCACACGCACACGCACACGCACACGCACACGCACACACACACACACACACACACACACACACACACGCACACACACACACACACACTTTGGCTCGCGGGGCGAGAGCGAGCCTCTTCCGATAAAAGCTAGGCGGGCTACGCAACAGCTCAAATCGGGGAGACACGGCACAGGCGGGCGGGGCCTCAGGCGGCCGGAGAGGGCGGGGCCTGGGGTGCAGGCGGTGCCGAGGAGCTTGCACAAGAAAAGGCACGCCGTGGACACGAGCCGGAAGCGAAGATCCGGAGGGAGAGCGATGTGGTGTTGCGGCACTCCGTAAACACCAGCTCAAGCGCTGCATAGGAGGACGTTGTACGCGACCAGGTCGACGTCCAAGGGGGAGAAGTCCACCATGAAGGCGATGAGCAACGTTGTGCCACCGGATGGTGAGGAGGAGGCCCAGGAGAAGAAGAGCACCACGAAGGCGATGTGCAGCGTTGTGCCACCGGGTGGTCGGAAGCGGCCTGGGGTGGTAGTCCAATCCACGACCAGGAAGCAGCCAGCAAGAGGTGCGGCCAGAGACAGGGCCGTCCGTGTCCGACAGGATGTCGGTGGAGTGCAAAGAGGAAACCTGATCTGCACAGTCAGCGCGTGACACACACACACACACACACACACCACCAACCTCCACAGCACAACGCACCCACAGGGGGGGGGCATCATGTAGAACGCTCCAGATACCGTCAATCCAAGAAAATTGGCACCTCTTGGGCAGGTTCCGCCAGCTTCCGCCAGCCGTCCGCCAGCTTGCGCCCGCGGAGGCGGCCTCGTTTCACCCCCGCCCGCTTCTGCCACCCGTCCGCCGCCTTCTGCCAAGGAAGAGATGCCGACCTCTCGATTCCTCGAAGGCGAGGCCCTCTCTGGCACGCCTCATGTGGGGAGGGGGAGGGACCATGCCCGTGTGAGGAAAGAGGAGCCCTGAACCCTGGATCGTAAAACTGCCGCACGTCTGGCAGATAACGGCATGCAGCACGGGCGGGAGCAAGGGGCGCGGGAGCAGGGGCTGGCCGAGAGAGAAGATGTTGGACACTGCGCGCACGAACGGCAGTTTGTGCTGGCCAAGCGGGCGACTCTTTTTGGATGGACTCCCGATTGCTCGCACTTGTCTGCGACCCTGCGCAATCCACGCATCCAAGCCCACTTTCACAACTGCACCGCACCTCCTGAGGCGGCAGTTTGGTGTGAAGCAGGGCGTCGAGCGCACAGAAATGACGAACAGAGCAAGATCGTAGCTTTTGTTTGCCCCAGAGTATACGAAACATCGGAACGTGAACTGAAGGGAAGGAGCGCTGCTATGGAACATTCCGTCGTCACCGTACCTCAACTCAATGAGCCAGGCACCTCCCGAATGCTCGGGAAATGAATGAGAGCAAAGAGGGACATAAAACAGGAGGGAATAATGAGTGGGCTGGCGTGACAGCACTGGTGACGGAAAAACAGTGAAAGGAAGCACGCTTGCCACTGACACTGGAGTCAAAACAACACGTATTGATGCCACGAGCCCTGCCGATCATGAGCCTCCTGACAAAGCATACCACTTCTCTCCCCTCATCTGCACAGTACGCTCATGTGTTATACGCCACCGTGCCGCTATGTACTCTCGGGTCCCCTAAGCGTCCTCCGCTCTCAGTCCGAAGGACCCCTTACAGGGCCAACACTCAGGGGGTACGGTCGCTCCTGTGCGCTCTTGGGCGCTCCTGGGCGCTTATGGGTCTTCCCGCATGGCTCCTGCGGAAGCAGAAAAGGCCCCAAGACAGGTCACGAGGGCCCCAATAGCACCAAGAACGTTCAAGAAGCCTCAGTCGGCCCAAGAGCGCTCGAAGACGCCCGAGATGGCCTCAAGACGGCTCAAGGGACCCCGAAGATGCCACAAGAGCGCGCCAAGAGCCATCCCAAAAAGCCCGCTGAAGACCAGATTCACTGATTGGCCTTAGGCTTCGGACTCGTAATCGGATTTGGAGTCGGATTCGGACCTGGGCTCAGGCTCGGGCTCGGATGTGCACTCGGGCTTGAACCAGCTGCGACTCGCAAGGGCCCAGAAAAGCACAACAATACCGAACAATCCCCACCAGCACTCTAGGGCGGAGGGGACATCAAAGAACATTAGCGTTTGGAAAAGAGTGTTCAACAACAACCACAACAACAACAACAACAACAACAACAACAACAACAACAACAACCGCAACAGCAAGAGCACCAGCAACAACAACGATAACAGTTAGGTTAAGTATCACTATTGTATGATCGCGTGTCATTTAACACATGTACCCAAAATCTCGATACCCGCACTCTTCATGTTCGATCGTACCCCCTTAGGGCATATACTTGTTGCATGCAACGTGTATTTCGTGCAGCCCCCAATGCAGGGGAAGAGAGGACGGATAAAAGGAAGGAGCAAGGGGCAGGCGGGTGGCTGAAGCGTGCGTCCTGTATGGATCTCGAGGAAGATCTCGAGCAATAGCGCGACTCACAAATCAATCGTAAGGAAATTCACAGCAAGAGCGTGATTCCTGAGTGTCGAGGGCGCGGCGTCAAAAAAAGCGCGAGGAAGTCCAACGCGAGAGCGCGATTCCTGAATATATTGTGAAGGAGAAGATCCGCGCGAGAGCGAGATTTCTCAATACATTGTGTGGAACTATTAGGCGGGATCCGTTGTTGTTGCCGAGGTCGAATGTGAAGATGCCGTCGGCACCCATTATGCTGGCCCCCCAGCAGCCCTCGAAAATGGCGACAGATTCGCAGATCGCAGCCCCCGGGGGATATCGAAGTCTGACTAATTTGAAGATGCCGTCGGCACCCACAATGTTGCCCCCCCAGAAGCCCTCGAAAACGGCGACAGCTTTACAACCACCACGCCCCCCAGAGATGTCGGTCTAAATTGAACCTGCCGTCGGCACCCACCATGCTGCCCCCCCCCAGCAGCCCTTGAAAATGGAGACAGTTTCGCAAATCGCAGTCCCCCAGAGATGTCGAAGTCAAATTTGAATCTGCCGTCGGCACCTACTATGCTGGCCCCCCCAGCAGCCCCCGAAAGTGGCGACAGTTTCACACTTCGCAGCCCCATATCGAGGTCTAATTTGAATCTGTCGTCGGCACCCACTATGCTGGACCCCCCAGCAGCCATCGAAAGTGGCGACAGTTTCACACTTCGCAACCCCGAAAAGATGTCGAGGTCTAATTTGAATCTGCCGTCGGCACCCACTATATTGCCCCCCCCAGCAGCCCTCGAAATTTGGCGACGGCTCCACAGATTGCAGCCCCCAGGGGTGCCGAGATCGAATCCGAATCTACCGCCGGCACCCACTATGCTGTCCCCCCCGGCAGCCCTCGAAGCATGAAGGGACCGCACCGAACCGAGAACCGGGAACCGTGACCGAACCGGACCGAACCGGTCCAAAACCAGGAACGTAGAAAACCGAACCGGACCGAACCGAATTCATTCAGAACCGAACCGGCGAGGACCGAACCGAACCAGAACCGGAACCGAACCGGAACCGGGCGGCCCCTGAACCGAACCGACGGGAACCGAACCGAACCCCTTTCCCCTCTGGTCCGGACCCCAGGACCCCGATGACCCCCAGGACTCCGGGACCCCGATGACCCCAGAACCTCCCGAAGATTCCCGCGACCCCTCCTCCTCCTCCTCCTCCTCCTCCTCCTCCTCCTCCTCCTCCTCCTCCTCCTCCTCCTCCTCCTCCTCCTCCTCCTCCTCCGCTTCCTCCTCCTCCTCGACGGCGGCGGCGTCGGCGGGCGCGGGCGTCGGCAAGCGTCCGTCGTCGTCGTCGTCGTCGCCGTCGTCGTCGGGGGGCCGCGGGGGAGCCCCGGGGGGGCTCCTGGCGACCCTCCTGGCAGCCCCCCTGGCGACCCCCCTGGCGACCCGCGACGGCGACGGCGACGGCGGCGGCGACGGCGGCGGCGGCGGCGGCGGCGACAGCGACAGCGACTTCGACCCCCCTCGCGGGTGCAACCCCCCTGGCGGGCGCAACCCCCCTGGCGGGTGCAACCCCCCTGGCGGGCGCAACCCCCCTGGCGGGCGCAACCCCCCTGGCGGGTGCAACCCCCCTGGCGGGTGCAACCCCCCTGGCGGGCGCAACCCCCCTGAGCCTGGCGGGTGCAACCCCCCTCGCGGGTGCAACCCCCCTCGCGGGTGCAACCCCCCTGGCGGGTGCAACCCCCCTGGCGGGCGCAACCCCCCTGGCGGGTGCAACCCCCCTGGCGGGTGCAACCCCCCTGGCGGGTGCAACCCCCCTGGCGGGTGCAACCCCCCTGGCGGGCGCGAACCCCCCTGGCGGGCGCAACCCCCCTGGCGGGTGCAACCCCCCTGGCGGGTGCAACCCCCCTGGCGGGCGCAACCCCCACCCTGGCGGGCAACCCCCCTGGCAACCCCCCTCGCGGGTGCAACCCCCTGGCGGGTGCCACCCCCCTGGCGGGCGCCACCCCCATGGCGGGTGCAACCCCCCTGGCGGGTGCAACCCCCCTGGCGGGTGCACCCCCCTGGCGGGCAAGACCCCCCTGGCGGGCGCAACCCCCCCTGGCGGGTGCAACCCCCCTGGCGGGTGCACCCCCCCTGGCGGGTGCAACCCCCCTGGCGGGTGCAACCCCCCTGGCGAGTGCAACCCCCCTGGCGGGTGCCACCCCCCAGGCGGTGCAACTCCCCTGGAGGGTGCAACCCCCCTGGCGGGTGCACCCCCGGGCGGGTGCACCCCCCTGGCTGGCGCGACCCCCCTGGCGGGTGCAACCCCCGGGCGGGTCACCCCCTGGCGGTTGCGGCCCACCTGCGGGTGTCACTCCCCCTGGCGGGTGCAACCCCCCTCGCGGGTGCAACCCCCTGGCGGGTGCAACACCCCCTGGCGGGCGCAACCATCCTGGGCGGCGCAATCCCCCCCCCCCGGCGGGTGCAACGCCCCTGTCTGGGCGCACCCCCCTGGCGCGCCAAACCCCCCTGGCGGGCTGCGACCCCCCTGGCGGGTGCAACCCCCCTGGCGGGCTGCGACCCCCCTGGCGGGCGCGACCCCCCTGGCGGGCGCGACCCCCTCTGGCGGGTGCAACCCCGCTGGTGGGTGCAACCCCCCTGGCGGGTGCAACCCCCCTGGCGGGCGCAACCGCCCTGGCGGGTGCAACCCCCCTGGCGGGTGCAACCCCCCTGGCGGGCGCGACCCCCGTGGCGGGCGCGACCCCCCTGGCGGGCTGCGACCCCCCTGGCGGGTGCAACCCCCCTGGCGGGCTGCGACCCCCCTGGCGGGCGCGACCCCCCTGGCGGGTGCAACCCCCTTGGCGGGCTGCGACCCCCCTGGCGGGTGCGACCCCCCTGGCGGGCGCGACCCCCCTCGCGGGCGCGACCCCCCCTGGCGGGCGCACCACACCTGGCGGAGCGCAACCCCCCTGGCGGATGCAACACCCTGGCGCCATGAACCCACCTGGCGGGTGCAAACCCCCCTCGCGGTGCAACCCCCCTCGCGGGTGCAACCCCCCCCTGGCGGGTGCAACCCTCCTGGCGGGTGCAACCCCCCTGGCGGGTGCAACCCCCCTGGCGGGCTGCGACACCCCTGGCGGGCGCGACCCCCCTGGCGGGCGCGACCCCCCTGGCGGGCGCAACCCCCCTGGCGGGTGCAACCCCCCTGGCGGGCGCAACCCCCCTGGCGGTGGTCAACCCCCCTGGCTGGCGCAACCCCCCTGGCGGGTGCAACCCCCCTGGCGGTGCGACCCCCCGGCGGGTGCGACCGTGCTCCCCTGGCGGGTGCGACCCCCTGTGCGGGTGCTACCCCCCTGGCGGTGCAACCCCCCTGGCGGGCGCAACCCCCCTGGCGGGCGCAACCCCCCTGGCGGGTGCCCCCCCCTGGCGGGCGCAACCCCCCTGGCGCCACCCCCCTGGCGGGTGGCCACCCCCCTGGCGGGTGCACCCCCCTGGCGGGTGCAACCCCCCTGGCGGGCGCAACCCCCCTGGCGGGCGCAACCCCCCTGGCGGGTGCAACCCCCCTGGCGGGTGCAACCCCAACCCCCCTGGCGGGTCACCCCCTGGCGGGGCCACCCTGGCGGCGCCCCCCCTGGCGGGTGCAAACCCCCCTGGCGGGTTCAACCCCCCTGGCGCACCCCCTGGCGGTGCCACCCCCCTGGCGGGTGCAACCCCCCTGGCGGGTGCAACCCCCCTGGCGGGTGCAACCCCCCTGGCGGGTGCAACCCCCCTGGCGGGCGCAACCCCCCTGGCGGGTGCAACCCCCCTGGCGGGCGCAACCCCCCTGGCGGGTGCAACCCCCCTGGCGGGTGCAACCCCCCTCGCGGGCGCGACCCCCCTCGGGGCTGCGACCCCCCTCGGGGCTGCGACCCCCCTCGGGGCTGCGACCCCCGTCGGGGCACGTCGCTGGAGGGCCTCGCGCCTCCACGCCTCCACGTTTCTCCTCCTGCTCCTCCTCCTCCTTCTCCTCCTCGTCGTCCTCCTCCTCCCTCCTCCGCCTCCGCCTCCGCCTCCTCCTCCTCCTCCTCCTCCTCCTCCTCCTCCTCTCCTCCTCCTCCTCCTCCTCCTCCTCCTCCTCCTCCTCCTCCTCCTCCCTTTTTTTCAAACTGGGTCGTCGCTTACGCAGACGGGGCGCCCAACGTCGCACCTGACCAGTCGGGCCGAACCGAACCGGAGCGGCCACTCGAACCGAACCGAACCGGTCGGACCCAACCGCGCGAAAACCGGAACCGAACCGAACCGGCGGCAGGCCCAAGCCGAACCGGCCGAAACCGGACCGATGCCAAACCGAACGGGCCAAGCAAAACCGACCCGGCTGCAGAACCGGACCGAACCGAACCGAGCCGATCCCTTCATGCGAAGGTGGCGACAGCTTCATACTTCGCGGCCCCCAAGAGGGATGCGAGAGGAGAGAGTCGAAGGGAGAGCGGGGGGGGGCCAGGAGGAGGAGAAGGAGACCACACTGCTCTGTTCAGAAATTCGCCGGCCCAACGGGCCAGGGCGTGCTAAGATCTCCGGTACCTGGTTAACAGTATTTCTAGTTCGCGCGCGCGGGGCGGCCCCTGGGGGTCCCCGGACGAAAAGTACCCCGGCAAGGTCCCGGCAAGTCCCCGGCAAGTCAAGGTCCCGGCAAGGTCGGGCCAGAGATGCCGGAGTTCTGTTTCGGAGTCCAAGAGGGCTCCAGATCGGTCCAAGAGGGCCCCGAGAAGCTTTCTAGACGGTCCAAGAGAGGCCCGAGACGGCCAAAGATCGCCCGAAGACGCCCCAGATGGCCCCAAGACAGCCCAAGAGGCCTCCAAGACGCTCCAAGGGCCTTCCAAGAGGCCTCCGAAGAGGGCCCCAAGTTGCCAAAATCGTTGATTTTCATTTGTTTTTTCTATGTTTTTTTGCGTTCTGGCCTTTTCGCTTCCGGACGCTCCAAGAGGGCCCAAGAGGCCTTCAAGACTGCTCCAAGACGGCCCACGAGGCTCCCAAGACGGCCCCGGAGCGGCCCAAGAGCGCCCCCCAGACGGCCCAAGTGCTGCCCAAGGCGGACCAAGAGGCCCCAAGACGGGCCCAAGAGGGGCTCAAGAAGGGAACCGAGAACTGAAAAATCGAGCCCTCCGCCCCAGAAGGCGCCCAGGACCCCGAAAGAGGCCCCAAGAGACTCTCCAAGACACCCCCAAGACGCCCCAATAAGCTCCCGTGAGGCCCCAAGAGGACCAACAACGTCAGGCCCCAGGCCCCAAGAGGACCAACAAATACCGCCAAGAGCCCGCCGAAAGCCCCCCAAGAGACCGTCACGAGAGCTCAGGAGGCCCCCTGGAGGCCTCCCGAGTTCTCCAAGAGGCCTAAAAAGAGGCGCCAAGAGGCCCCAAACGGCCCCACCGAGGCTCCAAGAGGCCACGAACGCGCAAGCAAACGCCTGCGATGGCACAATACGGGCCGGCGGAATGAGCGAAGCGATTAAATAACCCAAACAAAGGAGGGTTGGGAAAAACAGGGTGCGAGCCCCGAGGGGGGCATTTCAATTGAAAAGCACAATGGTTACCAGGGGGGGATCAACCATAAATATGACTTTCAATGAAAGCTCAACAACCACAACTGAAACCACAACCACACCCACAACCACAATCACAACAGCAACAGCAACAGCACAAATATCAGCAGCTGCAACAACAACAACAACAACAACAACAACAGTAGCACCAACAACAACCACAACAACAACAATCGCAACAATCGCAGCAACAACAGCAGTAGCAACAACAACAACAGCAGCAGCAACACCACCACCACCACCAACAACAACAACAACAACAACAACAACGACGACAACAACAACAACAACAACAACAACAACAACAACAACAACAACAACAACAACAACTACTACTACTACTACTACTACTACAATACAACAGCAACAACAACAACAACCACAACAACAGCAGCAGCAACAAACAACACTCAGTTGAAGACTGGTCGCTCGTATCTGCTCGCGTGCGATGCATCACGTACATCTCAAACCCTCGATACCCGCCCTCTTCGTCTTCGATCGTAAGCATTTGGGGGCATGTCTTTCTTACCTGCAGCGTGTCTTTCGTGCAGCCCCTAAGGCAGGGGAAGAGGAGACGGATAGAAGGAAGGGACACGACAGCGGGGCCACGAAGGGCACGCATATGAGGCCACGACGGGCGCGAACGAGCGGGGGCCACGAAGGGCATACATGTATGGGGCCAGAAATGGCGACAGCGGGGCCACGAAGGGCACGCATATGAGGCCACGAAGGGCAGAGAGGGGGCCACGAAGGGCGACAGCGGGGCAACGAAGGGCATGCGTGTGGGGCCACGACGGGCGCGAGCGAGCAGGGGCCACGAAGGGCAGATCATGCTGGGCCACAGAAGGCAGCGACGGGGCCAGGGCAGCAACGGGGCCACGAAGGGGAGGGAGCGACGGCGACCGCGGAAACCAGTGCGGGCAACGAGGGGCATCGAAGGCAGGCGAAGGACAGCGAGCGGCGACTGCAGTCCCTAACGGACTGGTCGGGCGGGCAGGCCCCGGCGGGCGGGTCGAGCGGGCGGGTCGTTGAAGCGTGAACCCTGCTTGGATCGCCAGGAAATATCTAGCGGGAACGCGACTCCCAAGTGAACCGTGAGAACGTCCAAAGCGAGAGTGCGGATGCTGAGCGTCGAGGAGCGGCATCTGAATAAATCCCACCAGCCCTCTGGGCGTAGGTGGTTTAGGGCGTTCCCTCTTCCACCCCTCCCGCTTCCCCTTCGGGGAGGATTTATCATTGTTCCCTAATGAACACCCCCTCCCCCACCTGGCCGGCAGCCAACCCTGAACCATGCGGGCACCCCCCCCACCATCCCTGTCAAAAACCATGCAAAAAAACACATTGCGGGGCCCGCCCTGCCAACACCCTCCACAATCCCTAACAAACAATACGAAGTGCACATTGCAGCAAAATCTGGACAATGCGCTGGCGCTCTGTGAGCACATATTGTTTTTTGACAAGGATGCCGGGGCACCCTTAATGAAGCCGCTTTGTGCAGGAACAACATCCGTGTCAAAAGCAATGCAAAGAGCACGTTGCGACAACGTCGTGGGAATCGTGCTGGCCACCCGCGACCACTTTGCACTGCTTTTTTGACAGGGACGGCGGTGGTGCCCGCATGATGATGCTTGCTGTGCGCGGGCCCAGAACAGTGCTGACACCCCCCACATCAGCATCTGGACCATGCGGACGGGGGGGCATCACGTCTTTTACAAGGATGGCACACCAACCGCATGTGGAGCCCGCGGCGAGCGTCGCGCACCTGGCGTCCGCTTTGGTTCCCAGTGGCTGTCCATCCAGTGGCGACCCCTGGCTATGCCGAGACTCGGATGCCACTTCTGTGGTGGGAGGGCGGGTGGGAGCGAGCTAGACGGCTTGCCTGCGGAGAGGGTGTCTTGACCCCTCCCCTACCCCCTCCCCTGGACCTGGACGGGGCCGCTCGCGGGTAGTTAGAGCGCCCAAAACGGCCTCGGCGAGGAAGCCAGAACCATTGGTTGTCCTATGGTTTTGGCCCCATTTTGGCAACGCTAAAATAAGCCCCCGTCTTCTTTGATCGATCTCCTCCAAGATAGCCCCAAGAGGCGCCCAGGAAGCCCCAAGAGGTCCCAAGACGGCCGCGAGATGGCCCCTAGAGGTCCCCAAGAGGCCCCCAGAAGTCCCCAAGAGGACCCCAAGCGGCCCCAAGAGGCTCCCCCGAGGCACCCAAGACTCCCAAGAGCCCCCAAGGACCGCCAAGAGACACCGAAGACGTCCCAAGAGGCCACCAAGAAGCGCCCAAGAGATACCCCAAGAGGCTGCGAGAGGCATCCAAGAGACCTCTGGCCCTTTTCCTTGCCCTCCTCCTCCTCCTGCTCCTCCTTCCTCGTCCTACTCCTCCTCTTCGTCCTCCTCCTCCACCTCAGCATCAGCATCAGCATCAGCATCAGCATCAGCATCAGCATCATCATCATCATCATCATCATCATCATCATCATCATCATCATCATCATCATCATCATCATCATCATCATCATCATCATCAGCATCATCATCATCATCATCATCATCATCATCATCATCATCATCATCATCGTCATCATCATCATCATCATCATCATCATCATCATCGTCATCATCATCATCTCATCATCATCATCATCATCATCATCATCATCATCAGCAGCAGCAGCAGCCTCATCAGCATCATCATCATCATCATCATCATCACCATCATAATCAGCATCATCATCATCATCATCATCATCATCATCATCATCGTCATCGTCATCGTCATCATCATCAGCATCAACAGCATCAGCATCAGCATCATCAACATCATCATCGGCATCATCGGCATCATCAGCAGCATCATCAGCATCATCAGCATCACCAGCATCATCATCATCAGCATCATCATAATCATCACCACCACCACCACCATCATCATCAGCATCATCATCATCATCATCATCGTCGTCGTCATCATCATCATCATCATCATCAGCATCATCATGATCATCATCATCATCAGCAGCAGCATCATCATCATCAGCATCATCGTCAGCATCATCATCATCATCAGCATCATCATCATCATCATCATCATCATCATCATCATCATCATCATCATCCTATTCATCCTCCTTCTCCCCCCTCCCTCATCCATCCATCCAGTCTTCTCCTTCTCCTCCTCCCTCCTTCGCACAATGCGGCCGTCCCCCTCTTCGCTCCCGCACTTCTCTGATCACATCAACTCGCCTGGACATCGTTTCTGGATGGGCTGGTGGGGATACGCGAAGCTAGAATTGCGGAGAAGTCCCAAGCGAGAGCGCGCTTCCTGAGGAGTAAATTGCGAGGAAGCCTCCAGCGAAAGTCTGATCTCTAAATAATTGTAAAGAAATGTCAGGCGGGAGCCGTTGTTATCGAAACGCGGGGGCCAGGGGCGCAATTTGACGCTCAAGACGATCCATGGTAAAAAACAGGATGCGAGCCCCTGGAAGGGCACTTCAATTGAAAAATATAATGGGCACGAGACGGGGGGATCAACAACAATTTTCTTCAGACATGAGAATCCAATAACAGCAACAACAATCATTTGAAGACTGCTCGCTCCTATCTGCTCGCGTGTCATTCAAGACGTATATCACAAACCATCGATCCCTGGCCTCTACGTCTTCGATCGTACCCCCTCGGGGGCATATCTTCCTTACCTGCCACGTGCGCTTAGAGCAGCCCTTAAAACAGGGGAAGAGATGACGGATGGAAGGAGGGGGAGAGAAGAATGGAACACGAGAAATTAGCAGGAGGGGGGCGAGGAGCAGAAAACAGGTGGTAGAACCAGACGGGCAGATCGGGTGGGCAGACCCATAGCGGCAAGTCGGAAAGGCGGGCCCAGGCGACCAGGTCGAGCAGGCGGGCTGCTGAAGCATGGGTCCTGCATGAATCGCAAAGATGTCTCGAGCGATAGCGTGATTCCCAAGTAAACCGTAATAAAAACCAAAGCGAGAGCGTGATTCCTCAGCGCCGAGGGCGTCTGAATAAGTTGCGAGGAAGTCCCACGCGAGAGCGCGATTCCTGAATGAATGTAAGGAGCTCCCGCGCGAGAGCGCGATTTAGGAATGCATTGTGATGAAAGATCAGGCGGGAGCCGCTGCTGCTTCAAAACCGGGCGCCATGGGTGCAGGTTGAGGAGGCAGACTTTCCCTGACAAAAAAAGGTGCGAGCCCCAGGAAAGGCATTTCAATCGAAAAAAACACATGTTACCGGAGGGGGGATCAACACTAGTCTTTCTTCAGAAAAGAGTTCAACAACAACAACAACAACAACAACAGCAGCAGCAGCAGCAGCAACAACAACAACAACAACAACAACAACAACAACAACAACAACAACAACAACAACAACAACAACACAAACAACAACAACCACAACAACCACAACAACAACAACAACAACAACAACAACAACAGCAACCGCAACAGCAAAAACAACAACAACAATCATGTTAAGACTGTTCGTTCCTATCTGCTCACTTGCCAATCAATACGTATATCCCAAACCCTCGGTACCCGCCCTCGTCGTCTTCGATCTCACCCCCTTGGGGGTGTATCTTCCTTACCTGCCACGTGTATATAGTGCAGCCCCTAAAACAAGGGAAGAGAGGACGGGTGGAAGAGGGAGGGAAAAGAATGGGGCACGAGAGAAATTAGCAGGAGGGGGGCAAGGAGCAGAAGACAAGTGGTAGAACCAACGGGCAGATCGGGTGGGCAGACCCATAGCGGGCAGGTCGGGAAGGCGGGCCCAGGCGACGAGGTCCAGCAGGCGGGTTGCTGAAGCGTGGATCCGCGAGGAAATCACGAGCGATAGCGCGATTCCCAAGTAAATCGTGAGAGTAGCCAGCGTGGGCCACGAAGGGCATAAAATCCGAGACCACAGAGGGCAGCGACGGGGCCGCCGAGGGCAGCCCTGGGGCCACGACGGGCAGCGAGGGGGCCACAAAGGGCGACGGCGGGGCCACGAACGGCATGCATGTGGGGCCACGACGGGCGCGAGCGAGCGGGGGCTACGAAGGGCATTCGTATACCTATACGACCCTTTGGGTGATAAGGAGGTTGTGTGGGGGGGGGAGAGGGGGGGAACCAACATCTGACCGAATCGATCTCACTATCGATCTCACTCAACGGGACACCACGGGACACCACGGGACACCACGGGACACTTGTCGATCTCACTATCGATTTCACTCAACAGGACACCACGGGACACCACGGGACACCATGGGACACCACGGGACACCTCTCGATCTCACTATCGGTCTCACTATCGATCTCACTATCGATCTCACTATCGATCTCACTATCGATCTCACTCAACGGGACGCCATAGGACACCACGGGACACCACGGGACACCTCGGGACACCACATCGATCTCACTATCGATCTCACTATTGATCTCACTATCGATCTCACTCAACAGGACACCACGGGACACCACGGGACACCACGGGACACCTGTCGATCTCACTATCGATTTCACTATCGATCTCACTTTGTGGGACACCACGGGACACCACGGGACACCTCGGGACACCACATCGATCTCACTACCGATCTCACTATCGATCTCACTATCGATCTTACTCAACGGGACACCACGGGACACCACGGGACACCTGTCGATCTCACTATCGATCTCACTATCGGTCTCACTTTTTGGGAAACTTCGGGACACCATGGGACACCTCGGGGCACCACATCGATCTCAGTATCGATCTCACTATCGATCTCACTATCGATCTCACTCAACGGGACACCATGGGACACCACGGGACACCACGGAACACCACGGGACACCGCGGGACACCGCGAGCCACCGCCGGACGGACGGACGGACGGGCGGGCGGGGGAGAATCATTTGTCTTGACTTCGCCCTAGCAACGGCAGACACCATGGGACACCACGGGACACCACGGGACACCACGGGACACCGCGGGACACCGCGGGGCCACCGCCGGACGGGCGGGAGGGGGAGAATCATTTGAAATGACCTTGCCCTAGCAACGGCGGGTTCACTCCTCTCGCGCGCCCACGCAGCTTCGTCTCGCGCGCACGCAAGACACGAATGAAACGAAACGATTTCCAGGTTGGGGGTCTCCGTTCGATCTCACCCCCCAACCTTCGACGGGGCCACGAAGGGCACCAGCGGGGCCACTGAGGGCAGCAAAGGGGCCACGAAGGGCAGCGACGGGGCCACGAAGGGCGACAGCGGGGCTACGAAGGGCATGCGTATTTGGCCACGACGGGCGCGTGCGAGCGGGGGCCACGAAGGGCATAGAATGAGGGGCCACAAAAGACAGCGACGGGGCCACTGAAGGCAGCAACGGAGCCACGACGGGCAGCGAGCGAAGGCGACCGCGGAACCAGTACGGGCAGCGAGGGGCATCGAAGGCGGCTTAAGGGCAGCGAGCGGCGAATGCAGTCATTAACGGGCTGGTCGGGATGGCAAGCCCCGACGGGCGGGTCGAGCGGGCATGGTCATTGAAGCGTGAATCTCGCGTGAACCGCCACGCAATATATATATATATATATATATATACACACATATATATATATTATATATATATATATATATATATATATATATATATATATATATATATATATATAGCGGGAGCGCGATTCCTCCGTGTCGAGGACAGGCATCTG